CACACACACACACACACACACACACACACACACACACACACACACACTTCGCCCATTCAAAGTGAAAATTCAATAAATATTATTTCTACAGTTACTTCAACGATATGGAGTCGAAAATAGTGCAGGTATACATCGAGCTTCTGATCAAGCAACATAAAGTGCTGCCCGAAGACATAGGTGTGGTTACACCCTATATTCGTCAGGTAATTTAACTTCGTCGATTTGTGTATTGTCAATAAACTGAAACTAAATAGTAATTACACGTACCTATCAAATGTAAATTAAGGGTTGGATCTCACGTTGCTGAAAGGAAACACAATTCGGATATCGCAGCACAGCCGGCCACGTAGGATACAACCCGGAGATAAATTAAAGATTCCGTTTTAAACAGGTGTACAAAATCAAGAAATGGCTGGAAAGCCAGCATTTCGGGCCGGGCAGGATCGAAGTGGGCACCGTTGAGGCTTTCCAAGGAAAAGAGAAGCGCGTGATCATCATCTCCACAGTGCGCGCCAACTGCGGTCTGCTTGACCACGACGCTAAGTTCCAGCTCGGATTTCTCGTCGATGATAAAGTGGGTACCCAATAACTATTATAGACATAGTGTTGCTGGGTACAGGGCTCCTGAAATACCTGCATTCTCATGAACCTGTTTAACGCCACGTAACAAGCAATATGTACATATTTCACCTCGTGACTGAATAGTAGGCTTTAAAATTATAATGCTCAACCCGCTATTTGGACCACGCGAATTCGGGATTTACAAGAAACTTTTGATTTGTAGCTTTTTCATAATGTTCCTTCTCGCCGTCAAAAATCTACTCCCAATTTTAATTGCTTTTTGTTGCGCTATGATAATAAACAATGTGATCCATTTTAGGGATCACAATGGTAATCGTTATATCCATGAAATGACGTAAGGAAATGCACAATACAGCTCCAAATAGACCTTATCAAATGCTGAGTTATAACTTGATTAATCATCTTTTGCAGCGTTTCAACGTAGCATTGACACGAGCCAAAGCCAAAGCAATCGTAATTGGCAACCCGCTGTGTCTGGAGAGGGACGTGAAATGGCGCACTTACATCAACAAGTGTCGCGAATTCGGTACATACTTCGGCTTCGACTCGCAACTTCACCAAGCAGATGAAATTCAAAAGGATATTGTGGAGAAAATCACGCCCATATTAAAAAACTTGAAGTTAAACAAAGCCAAGGCCTAGTTACATTCAAATTGTGATTCCAAAAAGTTTTGTGATTAGTTTTTTTTTTTTTGAGATATAGTTTAAGAAAGGAAGAAGAAAGAAAATACATTTATTTGCACTTACATTAGGTTTAAGTCGGAATCAGGTTTCATTGTTGTCATATATCAGTGCCTCCAGTAGAAAACGGAATAAGACGAGTTATGCCCTTTTGTTTTTATTGCACCATTGGCTTGAGCGTGTCCGATTACAAAACATATCAAAATGACGTGACTCCTAACCTCGTTTTTTATATTGGACTAAGGGCATAACTCACTGTTTCTAATGGCATAATATTAATTATCGGGCATTTTTTATGAGTCCAAAGGTACAAGTGCTCTCAACTCCAAAAAGTATATTCAAGTTTAACGAATAACTACACATATACTGTTACATAAAGACACTTTTCGTGTTGTTCCATAATGACGGGGAAAAAAGTAGGACTAAAAACGACTATTCCCTTATTCCATAGTGTACATAAAGGCACAACTCACTCAACACAGTTACTTTCGCATTTATAATATTAGTTTAGATTGGCTTAAGTTGATGTTTTATCAAAACGACAACAAATAATTGGGTTAAAAATAATTTAAACCGGGACGTACTTTGAATCTGGAGGATGATGCTTGTTACAACAATTTGATAGCGTCTCAGAACAGTGTGACTGCGTATTCGTTTTATAATTATAATTTTAGTGCAAAAATATATAGAGGGCGAAAAATAATCAATAATCGTACCTAAATGGTAATTATGAGAATAAAATTATATTCTTATATATAATAAATATGTAATTTTGTCAACCGTTGGGCGAATACCTACCTACCTTCTTAGTTATAATAGAAACATCTTTAAATTAAAAGGTAGGTACCGTTGTTAGCCCTATTATTAAGAGCAGCTTATTTTTATTTGATAAGTATCACTTTAATTATGTACTTTATTTTGAAAATATTGTTTGTTCCCTTTTTTATTAGAAATCCACCCGAATCTTTTGATCATAGCTACAGTGATACTGAACAGCGTCGCGATCGAGAGGTAATCAATAATGAATACACTACTTATATCAATAATTACATATAATATTTAATTACAAACCTATGACCAAGTAGATTAGTGTAAGTAACCTATAGTTACTACAATAACAACCTTTAGGTACAATTTATATATACCTATACGTTTTTCTTATTTTTAGTCAATCTTTTGTTATTATTTTAGTTATTTATTTTTTTCTTTGCTTTCATTGCAAATGGAGTTAATTACGGATCAAAAACTTGAAATTATTGAACCAAGAAGTTTAATGCTTGTGACTTAAGTTTGCTACTTTTAATATATATATAATAAATAGTGAACGAAAGAACCGGTAATAGCTAGTGTAAAAATATTTTCTAAAGTCTATTCCAGAGATTCGGAAGATCGAGTACATACTCGATGTTCGGAAGAATCAAAGATCTTAGTTATTTGTTGACAAACAGATCCGACAAACTTCTCCCCATAAGCGTTGAGAAAAAGAAGGATCTTCTGGCTCTTCTACCATTAATTGAATGTGAATGTCATGAATTGTATCTACCAACTGCCAAAACTGTAAGAGCCGATGAAGTCTCAGATTGAAACGATTATAATTATTTCAACGACAAATGTACGGATTAATGTAACATACAATACATTTTCATATTTTTATACAATTTCGTTATTTTCACCGCACAGTTGCTTCCTTACACATTTTTTATTTGCTTGAATAAGTCGCACTATTTCTGTGTTTGTGATAAAGATGAGTGTCATAATTATTGTTATAACCATAGAACAGTCGCAGCTAAAGGAATAGGTCGTTTTATGTCTTAAAATTTGTTAACATAAGTCATGTTGTATTTTTAAGCTCTTCGTAAATACGGACACAACTCGAAAAAAACTTTAAAAATATATTGAAATTATGACTGGATGTTTAATAAATACACATGAAACGAAAGCTTAGACGTATACCTAAAAGCTTGAAGTCATAAAATTGCTAATAATAAATGCGAACAACTAACAATCAATAAAAGTATGGTTTTGTCTCTCCTGAAAAGTGTCGATTTTGAGTTATTCCTTTTTTCACTGGAGGCACTGACATTTTCCAATTTGTTTTAGAATAAGTTTTTGACTTTTCGTTCTTTTTCAATATATTTTCATAATTTATGTAGTTCAGGAGAGAGTCAGATATTACCCATTTGTTCCATATATTTCATCTTTTGGTAAATTAACAGCTATAATATTTGAACTTATAGTCTGCCTTTTTTGAAGACGGAGTAAAATGACATTTATGAGGTTTCCAGTATTCATAAAATTTTAAATAGTTTTGTAGTTATGTAGTCCTCGATAGTTTTATCGATAGATTACGAAAGAAGATATTTTTTTCCAAAAATGACTGAATTGTGAATGTTACGACGTTCTAATGATTACTAATTGCGTTGTTGCCTTTATTTTTATTTTGACAATTGGCCTGGTAGGCCAGGCCTACTAATATCGAAATCAATTTTTATTCATATACATTTTAACAAGAATAGCCGGATTTGATTAGCTATATTGAATTAAAATAAAAAACTTTAAAATATGTCTCCACATTGTATTTTTCATAAACTTTCATAAACATAGTTCTCAATACAGTATATGTATGTATGAACTTACAAAAATTGACAATTCAAATGAACTTGTGCTTAGTAATTAATTAGATAAATTGCGTGGATCATTCAAATGAAACAAGTTCGGCCGTTTATTCCATAAGCATGACCAATACTCACTCGATAGTCCATAGAATATTTATCGACTGCAATCACTTTATAGCTACTCCGAAACGGGCAACACAGTTACGTAATAAACTGTCATTTTACTCAGTCTTTCGCGGGATACGTTATCACATGACTGATATTTTAAGTAACGAAGAACTTAAACTAATATCTGAGTCTTTTCTAAGCTGTGATATTAGCTGTAATTTAAAGAGTCATTTTAGTGTGTAAGGATTTTTACCTCGGTGAGTGCCGATATGACTAAGATACATATATAAACTAATTCACTTTGTATTTTCAAAATTATTTTTGCATTATTGAAAAGTTAAGTAAATTTTAAGTGTAGGATACTTTGAAGGATAATTGTATCAAAATTTATTTTTTCAAGTATTAGTAATCAACGTTTTGATGAAAATATAATAAAATATTAGAAATTTATGGAAATCTTTTAACAATCCGTCGTTTGCCGATTGAGAATTATCTTCAGAAAACTTGAGCTAGGCTCTTGTCGACTTAATAAATATCATTTTATACTTCTCACCAGTCTTATAAATAGCTTAATATGGAAATATTGAAAACGTCTGATACTGATGTGGTGCTGTAACAAGGGAAACGAAATGCATTCGAATGATATAGTTTAACTGTCCAGATGTATCGACGCTTTACATGTGGCTATCATTTCCCTTGTTATGTATGTGTACGTACATAACCAAGTTACATTACCGACACTCGGAGAGGAAAAATGATTCCTGTTGCAAAACCAAGTAACGAAGTACCCCTTACAAAACCATTACGGCAGACCGGTAATTTCCGAGAAAAAAGATTAACTGGTGCCTAATGTTATAAAGTCATCGACCGATCGATCGTGGAATTGGAGACGTTTACACTAGCAGATGTCTTTCGCTCGTTCAAATGTTAAAAGTATGTATAGTGATGTTGTAAACACACAAATATCTTTTGTACAAGTTTGTACCTCAAGCGACCGCACAAAATATAAAAAAATATATACATATACTAAGTGTTATTGTTTTCATGTTTTGCGAAAATTTTTAAATAATCCAATTTAAATTAATCTCAGCCTTACTACAGAATACGCACCAAGTAACTAGGATAATATTCGGACACCACAGTTAATAATAGTTTCGGAATTTTGATACCATGAGTTCATTCGCCTCTCGTACAAGCAAAAGGTTAAAGCTTAAGAACGGAATAGTGACAATGACATGAGTACGCGTGCCTTATTCCAGCGTGACCATGGTAGAGTTTTTGAAATTTGACTAGCCAGATAAAGTCGCTATCTAGTCGGTTCTACTCGCAAAACAGTAGATTTTGTCGGTCCGCGGACAAAAGTTATAAGGGTGTTTTACTGCCCCCACTGGAATATGCTTATTCCAGTGGCACCATTTCTCAATCTCGAGAACCACAACACCTAACTTAGATCTGATAACACTAAAAGAAGTCGTGATTTAGTCGGTTCTAGTCCTAAATAAAAAACTAGATTTAGTCGTGCGCCGTTTTGAAGTTATTAAGGTGACGACGGACCGACTAAATCTAGTTTTTTGCGACTAGAATCGGATAAATAGCGACTTTTTATCTGGTTAGTCAAATTTCAAAACTCGCACATGGTCACACTGGAACAAGACACGTCACGAGGATTCGCTCTGGGCCTTTTGGAGGGAAAAGTGTCGTTTTTATTTTGACTTTCAATTATTTTGTGAAATCTAGTTTAAAGTGGAATAGGATAGTGCTATTGTGCCTTAATCGAAGATTAAAACGCGATATTATACGAATCTCGAACTAAAATACCCGTATCGGCCCGTTCTAAGGAATCCCGAGTCAATCCAGGCACGCCGCCTCAAATTGCCTATCCTCTTTGTGGTGGCCATATTTACAGAAATACAATTAAACGTTTATGATTTCGGTTGAAGGACTTTGTTTCCATGGCCAGCAATGAATTTAAAAAAAAACACGTCACGGGAATAGTAATTAAAACGAACATAAGTTGTTGAGATAGCTTACCACCAAGCTTTTGGATTATGGAGCGACCAAATTCTAAATCGACTCGAGTAATTCACGTCTTTTCGGGTACAATCAGATCTTAATTAGGAGCTCTGTAATCGCGCGGGTAGTTATTGGATAGGTTCGCTCGTACATTTCACAGTCCTTGGTCTAGCGTCTGTTTGCCATTTCGACGTGTGGCAAACAGACGCTAGACCAAGCTACTACCCGCTCGTCGCCGCTTCGAAAGGGAAGACGCCAAGACCCGCGCACCCGCACCCGCACCTTCATTCTGAATGAGCCCATTGGTGTGTATGCTATGGACGCTAGATGAATAGGCCCCGAGTTCGATTCCCTTTAAGACCCATTTGGTACATAACTTTTACTTAATCGGTTCAGCATGCTGATTTTCGTTCAAATCGGAATCGAACCGATCGGATTGTCGCGACAAACGCGAGCTTCGATGAAATCGGGTAACTTTGAACAGAATTAATGTTGCTAATGTTGGCAGCCATGTTATATAATGGTGAGTTTAAAACATTGACGGTGACAAGAGAAGCCAGAATTTTGAGCGCGCACGTGTCTGGCTGGAGAGCTGGAGTTTTATTCAAGGTGAGAAAAGTGATGAACTCTGAGAAGCGACATCGAGCGTAAGACCATGTAAGTACAATGAATATTGTTAAGAGACATGGGATGGGAGAGGAAAAGTTAGTATGTTTTAGAATAGAACTTATAGAAAGAAGCTCCGGCTGTTCCAATGGAGCAACCGGAGGTGAGTGTAGAACTAGAACTCTTACCAGAACAGAACTGAACCCCACTCATTCTGAGGGATTGACTGGGGGGCTAAGAAACGTTATGGTGATATGAGCAAGCTGTAAGGGGTAGTTATGGAGTCTTGTAAGGGGAAGAATCCACATTAGAATTGAGGATGTGTAGAATAGAATCTCTCAACCCTCATCTGACACTATATATTAAGAATTACTTGTCGTTGTATCTGAATATTACTAGGCGTGAAACTCATAGTTATTTATATCGATAATAGAAATACCCTAGGGGTCTACTCTCGATCTCCGTCTGATACAATTACTGTCAAATAAGTAATATTCGGCAAAATTAAAAGAAGTGTATTATGAAGCTTCATTCGCATCACGCGTCTTTTCATTTGGTCAAGTATTGCTTATTTGGCAGTAATTGTTTCGGACGGAGGTCGAGAGTAGACCCCCAGATGGGTTTCCGAGCGAGAAGATGAACCTGATTCTTACTATATCTTTCTAATTTGTGAGTTAAATCAACTATGTTCCGATTTGAAATGTGAAAAGTTTCCGATCGGAAAGTTGTGAATCGCAATTATACTCGCAAGAGAGGCAGTTTCCGATCAGGAGAGGCAATCAAAATCAAGCTGCTGCTGCATGTTTTTCATCTTTTCAATTCATCTTCTTGCTCGGAAACCCATCTGATTACGAGGTTACTCAATCGGTTCGATTCCGATTTGAATCAAAATCAGCATGTCGGGGCGTTCTCACCAGAGTCATCAGAGGAATAGGTACTCTTCATGGAAAAGTTAAGAAAAAAAAATACCAAACATGTTTATTATATAATTTACATTAAAAACAGTTATATTGTATGCCATAAATAGAAAATATTATGCTGGAGTAAAATCGCACGTCGCGTTCGAAGTTTCCTGCAAAAAAATATAATCCTGTTATAAATTCAGTTTTCGTATATCGTTACTATGCAATCTGTATAGTATATTATGGAGATAATCAAGTGGAAAAGTGATTACTTTTTTAATAGGTAGGTACCCAAGGTAGCTACTAATAAAGACTTGGCTTAAGTCTATGCGACCAGGCCGGTAAATAAAGAAAAAGAAAAAAAACGCAATGAAACGTGCTTTCGATTTATTAATTTCGAATTCGTGATTTCATTAAGAAACATGGTCAACGAAAGTGATGATTTATCTACTAAGACTTGGCAACGAGCTCTTGCTTCAATAAACAAAGTGAGTATAAAAGGTTAAGATTATATGGACACTTCCTAGAGGAAAAAAGTAATTCCTATTTTTCGATTTGTTAAGACAGTGCTTTGGTTGAACAGCTGACGTCGAAAGAGAAGCGAAATGGGGCACGACAGTATGGAGAGGGGACCTCTACTGTGTAGTTTCGATTTTTTGAAAATTTGTAAAATATAACCTCAAAATTATTATGTATGGATATAGAATAAATAGAACTTGGAATAATAACGCATAGAAACCTAGCCCGCACACGCTAAGTGAGGCAAGTTGTAGGAGGCCGTATAGGCCTACATGAGCGAGCAGGCAGTCAGTGCTCAAGGTCAAGTTGTACCGCGAACAGCTCAAAGATTTTTGCTAAAAATGACGAAATGTGCGGTAATTGGGTTTAAAAATAGATCAGACAAACATAAAATAGACACTAACATCACATTCCACAAAGAAGTAACGCGTTTCAACTTGTATTTTTATGTAAATATTCACTAAAACAGAAAATTAATTTCGTTGCAACAAGATACGAAAATGTTGCAAAGTAACGGGTTTTTTCTCCCCATTTTGCTATTCTGTTTCAAAATAATTATATTACGTAATTTTTTGAGAATAGGCAATATTGTCGGGAATTTACGTTAGCTATTTCTACGAAATATATTTAGTATTTGCCTTCATTAGTTCCCTGAACTAAAATTATTTCAGGGAACTAACACTGACTAAAAAGTCATCGTCAGTTCTCCAAAATCGTGTATAAATAACTTTCAGGTTCAGGTTCTTTATTGTTATCGTGTACTTTTCATGTAAACATACCCACAGATAATATCAGGCTATTTATATGTATATTCAAATTCGATAGCCGCACTTAAACTCGCATGTAGGTTTTTCAAAAATGTATTTTTGGTAAACCATAAGGAAATGGCATGTATATCTGAAGACAAGATAGCGGGCAAGACTTCTAATTCTCCTTCTTCTAATTCTTCGCCATCTTGGATTTAGAAATATGTGCTACATTCGGAATGAGCAGCCCCAAATACCTTGAAAACGACACCCAACTTGCTATTATTCGAAAAATCGTGCCCGCCATCTTGGATTTAGAAATTAGTGCCATATTCTTAATGAGCACCCCCAAATACCTCGAAAACGACACCCAACTTGCTATTATTTGAAAAGTCATGTCCGCCATCTTGAATTTAGAAATAAGTGCTACATTCCTAATGAGCACCCCCAAATACCTCGAAAATGATACCCATATTGCATTTATTTCAAAAGTCGTGTCCGCCATCTTGGATTTAGAAATAAATGCCATATTCTTGATGAGCACCTCGAATACCTCGAAAACGATTCCCATTTTGCGTGTCCGCCATCTTGGATTTAGAAATGAGAAAAGTCGTGTCCGCCTTCGTGTATTCAGATATAAATGCTATTTCCATAAGGATTACCAAAAATAAATTTTTGAAAATTCCTGTCACTTGATTTTGTCGATCAACAGTAACGATCGACAAAATCGAGCATATCTGTAGGCACCTGATCGAGATTGTCGATCGACAAAATCCAGCGAATCTGTAGGCACCTTGTAACTTAATGATGAGTTAAGCAAGATACAATTTCCCCACTTTTGAGGGAAATGTTATTCTATGGCATCATTATTTGTATATTTGTGTGCGTGCCGACGAGCGTAAATACAAGTTGCTTACGCCTACATGAATTTGATTTTTGCCTCATTTGTGACAGTTCGTTTGATATGAAACTATCATTCTATGCGTTATTATTCTAAGGAATAGAACTATGATGCTATAATCCGTCAACGATTTAGACCTTAAGAAAATGGGCGGTTTCAGCATTCAGAAAGATTTCCGCTATTGTATAAAAAAAAAACAACGTACGAAGTCAAAGATTTCAATCTTTATCGAGCAGATACTCAAGAGAGATTTCCGTGTTTGTATAGAATTTGAAAGCTGAAGCCCATTGTAGCCAAAGCTTTAGAGGTGGGTGATAAATAACGTCACGATGATCCGCCGTCAAACAGAATCACCGTGACTCGTTCCGAAGGAACGACGCCGACGTTCCAAAGTCACATAGGTGTTCCTCCGTTCCAATAGCTATCCCCGTCACTCAAATCACGACATACGTATTCGATACAATGCGCGATCTCCGTTCCGTGGTGACTGAGCGCGCCACTCGTTGCAGTTCTCTTCAAATCGGGCCATTTCGGCGATGGGAGTGAGTGAGATAGGATGACTTTCTTTGCTCACTCACAAGGATCGTAGGTGCTTATTACTACTAGAAAGGGCGGATGAAAAAAATCTGTAGCAGTTACTGTAAACCTATTTATTAAAAATCGTAAATATTTTTGTATATTTGTTTTATTATAGGAAGAGTTGGTAATTTTATATTTATGTATAACCTACTTTGTGTATTCTACATACATTACACTTTATTGCTATTTTTAACAATCCAAAGATTCGCATTAAATAAGTAAAAAACAAAATTACATTAAATACAAAATCCACTTTTTGAATGGAATTGAAACTTATTACAAAGGGAGTAAAAACTTAAATCATTCTATAAAAAACGGCTATAAGTATTAGAAAGAAGCCGCTGGCTAAAAGGGTTTATCGTGATGTAAGTTATAGGCGTGACAAGGTCACGGAAGTAACAGTCGTGACAAAATCACGGTGATTTATCCCCGTGATTTTTTTGGAACCGGAACGACAGTCACGGCGATAGAAATGTAACGCTATTCCCCATGTCTACAAAGCTTAATAAATAAAAACGTGGAAAAAAGAAATTGGAAATAAGACGTCACGCCGTAGACCTTAGAGGGATAAAAAAAAAGAATAGAGAAGCTTCTTGCGTATACTGAAAAGGGATACCAACAGAGTACCTATAAATTCTGGGTTGTCTACTTTTAAAATTTTACCCCGTTAAAGAAATTGAAATGAAAATGAAGTCGTGGTAACCTAATGGTTTGACCTACTGCCTTTCAAGCAGAGGGTCGTGGGGTCGAATCCAGGCTCGCACCTCTGAGTTTCTCGGAATTTGTGCGAAAGTTAATTTGAAATTTATCATAAGCTTTTCGATGAAGGAAAACATCGTGATGAAACGAAAAGGTGGGATGATGATGTAAGGAGGTCACATCGGAACACACTTAAAACCCAACTGACAGTTATTTATTTGAAATCAGTTGTAAGAAAGAAAATAACAAGCGTTTAAAAAAGACTACTAAAAAAGTATTGAAAAGTAAAAAAAATACAATATTTAAAATGATAAATAAATTGGGGAAAAGACAGTGGCAAAAGTACGGTATCCCTAAAATCAGCCTGTCTAATTTAATTTAATAAAAATAAATAATAATTAAATAACGTATATTTATTTGATCTCTCTTTCTCGCGTATCATAACCACTGCTGGTAGAAGCGAGATGGACATATTTGACAAAAGTAAGATATTCTTATTTTAGGAGGTTTATACGATGCAAACAAAAATCTTTCAATAAAGAAAAACACTTCAAATATCATGTAAAATATATGAAATCGTAAAATTCCAGGCTTGTAAGAGTATTTCACTAGTAATTCATACAAGAAAATTCATTGATTGTAATGAAAAATTAAAACTTACATGTGAAAGGTTAAGTTGGGAATTTTTCGTTCCATACGGCTTTTACAGCCTAAAATATAACTGCAATAATTGTCAATTACTACAAAGGAACGGTTAGTAACTTTGTAAAACACTTCTTAAAAGCACAAACACATAAAACACTCGGAAGGATTGCTGGACTCAACAAGCGTTGAGTCATACAATCTAAACCGCATACGTAGAAAGGGACAAAAAGTAATATTGTTTTCTCGTTTACTCTGATATGTCTGCATATATCTATCTCGCTTATACGATTTTTATTATTTATAGAGACCCTCTACGCCGTAGACGGAGAAAACTATAAAAGCAGAGAACAAAAAGTAACGAGAATGGACACTCTCCGCCCCTCCCTAGCTTTAGATACCGCACCGCGCCCCGCACACTGACGGTCACATTAACTGAATGGCAACAAGGCCATCAGCGAGCCGTTTTCACTCTTAAAAAAAAGCTTATATCTGAGACTCATTCAGTTATTGTTTTCTTCATTTATTTAGTGCAAAGTAATATACAATACAGATTTATTATATCAATTTAATGAGACGCCATAAGTTCCTAATAAACAAGGGTTATCGAATTTTCAATTTGTATTGCCAATAATATATAGTGAATATACCTAATTGTTAACTAGGTTATGATAAACTTGGGACACGCATTTTCAAATACCTATCTTGGTTACCTTATTTAAAAGTACCTGTCCAAAAGATAACATTTTAAGTGCTTTTAATACGTTTTTTAAATAAATCTTCAAAATTATTCTAGTTAGTAAATTAATGAAAAATATAATATTATATCGATATAAATACGTGATGAACATGGCGTAATTATTAGGATTCTATTAATAGAATTATAGATAACAGTTTCGCGTTAGAATTTTCGCTATGTTGCCGCTCTGACCATGTAATGGTACGAGAAAGTGATGGGTAACCCTGGCATTCACGCACATATTTGCGCGTGTGCATATAGCGCCTTGCTGAATGTGGTAGTAGTAGGTAAATAACTTTCGACTGTCGTATGGAGTGTCCAGGGTTTGCTAAAATAGTGAATTCCATGAAATGGAAAAGTTTCCGTTTTAAAAAACAAGATAGTCAAAACACTGTAAGTGGCTAAAACTCTTACCGCGAAAAGCCAAGAGAAATAAGAAAAAAAAAAAAGGTATTCTGGTTTTGATTTACGAATGGGTTGGATGCCTGTCGTGCTGCCAAACCCATTGACTATCCGATTTTCAATTTAGTTTTGGGAAAATTTCTGGAACAATTTAAATGAAATCAGTTCTAAGGTGTCTATATTTGTATTACTAACATTATACACACTATCAGAGAACAAAAAAAGTAACACATTAACGTAAATCTTTATTATTTATTAGCTTGGATACATGGACGGAGCAGTTGATGGGAAAGAGGCTTCATTCCAGTCAAGTTTTGACAAAGGGTACACATTAGGCTATAGCTCTGGATTCGCATTAGGACTAAAAGAAGCATTACACAGGTATTAATAATGTATATGTAGTTTATTAATTATTGACAATTTCAAACAATTTGATGATTGACAGTTTTTTGTACAATTACCATGTAGCAATTATGTATTTCAAAAACTACATACTTCTACTGACAACAAGAACTTTGACACTTAAAGACAATGCAAGTACCACAAGTAACTTGTCTCTTTTTGGCTTATCAACTACGTACATATAATAATTCATTAATATATTTACAGTGTTCAGCCATCCAAATATCCAAAAGAGGTATTGCAAGACCAGAGGAAAATAAACTGCCAAATATGTCTAAACAACATACTGGTACAAGACAGTGTGACTAATTTGTACAATCTGCAAAAGGAGACAAATAACAGACTACTTAACATAGATAAAAATACTGAAGAAGGGTGATGCTACAAAAATTTCTACAGATTACTAAAAATCAAAAATGTTTACGGGTGGTGAATGACTGCAAAGTAAATGAAAATATCATTTAAAATCCCACAATAATATTTACAAAATACTGTTTTATCCCTTATGTTTATATCATTGTTCATATAAATAAAGAATAAACAGTGGCATTGTGTATCAACAACAAATGTTATTTCATTAAAGGCTGACAATTTAGATGTCCCTTGATGATTGACCATGATGTCAAATGTTAATGCAAACTATTCTCACTCTAGAAATTAATCTAATTTTTTATCATGCTTATCTTATCGCAAGATCGGAATACGCAGAGGTATAATTTAATTTATTATATAAACCTTTTTTTTTTTTTTGTTAATCCGGGGGAATCTGCTAACCTAACTTCAATCAAAGAAGTAGTAACATAAAGTGAATCGTATCTCCTGCTGAAATCATGGAATTATTGTGTCGTATTTTACTCTTTAATTTGATGTGTAACTAGAAATTACACAAGTGTTTAGAATTTTTCTAACAGTAAAAATATGACTTGTATTAAGTTTAAATAGGTCTAGAATTTCAGAGAGAGGTACTATCCACAGACTTACTAGAAATTTAGATAATGTACGAGAGTGGTATTATAAATACGCAACTTTAAGGATAAATAAAAATTATTTTCGCAATTTATTTTTATTTATTATTAGAACTCCAAGCAAGTGACGTTACCTGTTTTTTAAATTAGCCCAAAAATAAAATAAAAAAAGTTATAATAGGTTTGGTCGATATTTTTAGCAAGACGGAGACTTTTTTACTAAGCAAGTGACGTTACTTGTTTTTTAAATTAGCCCAAAAATAAAATAGAAAAAGTTATAATAGGTTTGGTCGATATTTTTAGCAAGACGGAGACTTTCGCAGAATTAACTTTAACAGAATTTCGAATTTCGAGTATTCAGTTTCTCATATGCAATCAGGACATCAAAACTTGTCGCATTACGATGCGAACTGTTGGCACCCCCAATATTCACCAGATTTGGACTCCAATTTGGCTTTTTTACATATATTTAATTTTGATTAAAGTAGAGACTTTTTCAGTTTGACAAAAAATATTTTTTGATGGGTTGAAGGAGTGGGATATTGTTGGTCAAGGTGAATAAAGTTAAAAGGAGATAATGTACAAAAATAAGCTATAATTGAAAAAAATTTTGCTTGTCAAAGTCACGGCCTTATCAAATTGCTCTCGTATGCTCTGCCTATTTCAATCTCTGCTTATTATGCAGCATTTCAATCACCCATCAAATCCTTTGTAATTACAGCGCCACTATTTCACAATCCATAAATAGATTGTCAGCCTTCAATGATGTCGCCGTTTTCACTTTCACAATCTGGGTTTTTTCTCTGGAGGAGGCTTCATATTTTCTTGCTTAATCTCAGTCTTAATGTCATGTTGGAGGTTTCCATTTGTTAATTCAGAGTTGCTAGAGTCCACAGGCTCTTGTTTTATCGTCACATTGCCTACGTTTTCTCCAGGTTTCTCATTAATTTTATCATTTGCATTTTCTGTTTTTACTGTCACTCCATTGGTCTGCAATGAAAAACCTACTTTAAACTATATCTTGGGTAGGTATGTAGTTTCTTCAACACCTAACTTGTTAAAGTGATCAAACTATTCAGAGATGACAAACCGGCAGAAAACATCAACAACTCCATACAAACCCATCTAGCTTACAAAGTAAATAATTGCATATTTTTAATAAAGATTTGAACACTATACCTGACTTGGTGCGGGCTGAGTTACAGGTAAAGGAAACTGTCTCACTAGCTCGGCTAATAACATGTCAACTCTTTGCCGTTGAAATAAAGTAGAAGGTTCTTCCTTAGGTGTATTTACCACCTCCTTAGGAGCTGACTGGCTAGAGTTGTAAGGTCCCAATCCTTTGATTGCTTTGAAGTCCCACCAATATCCTTTGCTAGGATGGTACCTGGAGTAGGACATAGTTTCCTCAAAGGAACATTGTAAGTGATGGACAGCTGATAGCTGAAAGACAAAAAACCCCATCCCATTGTATACTTATTTATAATGTTTTATTTTCCATGCGTGGGGTAACCTTATTCTTAAGTCACAATTCTTCAATTCATTCTTCAAGCTTTGATACAGAAAAAGTTGTGATTTACTTCGTTCCATATGTATGTATTAATAGTTTTAGTTGCTCCTTTATTCATGCAACACCGAAGCTACAAATTATCTCATAGATTCAGTTATGTCAAAGAATTCCTAATGGACAATTTCTGCAATCCTTTCCTGCTTGTTGTGCCACAACCCCCAAATAATACTTTCCCTTCAATGTACATAAAAGCGGCCATTCTATAATAAACCCAGAGTTTGTCACTGTCGATTTTTTTTTCGTATCTGTCAGTCCAAACCCTCCATTCATTTTCGTCAATATAATGTACCCTACTTACAAATACAATTCGTGCCATTTATTCAATAGTGAAAAAAGAAAGAAAAATAAATAGCAGACCTAGATACAACTTAATGAACAAACCACAAATTAAAAAGATATAGTGGGAACAGACAACCGCATTTTGAATAGAAATTGATGAAAAAATCCTAAATAAGTATTTCCATTGCACCCTCAATATAAAGTGGCGGAGACTGATGTGCCACCACCGCAGGAAATGGTACAACTAATCAACTACTGCGAGCAGAACGACCAGAATATCGTCGTGGCTACTGACTAATGCCCACCAACTGTTGTGGGGCTTGGAACTCGCAAATGATAGATAGGTAGAGAATAAGTATTCTGTTAGGTAAGAACCTAACAGAATAGTTATTCACAACTAACCTTCAAATCCTTAATAAAGGTATAGTGCCAACTTTTATAAATAAAAGGTGTACAACTATTTATTATAGACCTAACCCTAGCGTCAGAAGGAGCAGTGGACCTTATCCACAACTAGCACGTGTCCGAAGAAGCATCTTTCTCGGACCACTAACGGATAAGATTCAGCTTAGAAACAGCCATCAAAGAACAACAACCGAAACGGAATACCCGAAAAACCGATTGTAAACTATACACGGACAAACTACACCAGAGCCTGGGGGAACCGGTGGCACAGGAAAGACTGCTGGACACAGCGCGGACAGAAACACAGGTTAAAGAACTAACATCAAACATATTGCTATAACTCCGCATGCCCACTGAATGACTCAGCCCCGCGGCAAAACCAACACTGGTGGGGGCCTGAGCTTGAGAGGCTTCGAAGAAGGGTAAGGAGACGCTTCAATAGAGCAATGAACACATTCGCGGATGAGGACTGGGAAAACTACAAGACGGCCAAATCCCGACTAAAAAAGTGCATACGGTTCAGGAGCACCGTGTCATGGCGAGGCTACTGCGCGAACATCACGTCTTGTGCACAAGCAAACAGAATAAGGAAAATTTTAGGCAACTCAAATTCAACTGAGCTAGGTTCAATACGCAAAATAGAACACATACACAACTTCCCCTGCGGAAACGAAAAGAACTCTACTGGAAGCACATTTCCCAAGATGTAGGTTCGTCCAAGAGGACAGGTGCGAAGAAATGAACTACATCACATCGATCCATAACTGGCGGTACGCTGAACAAGTAGTAACATACGAAAAGACGAAATGGGCAGTAAACACCTTTGAACCGTACAAAGCTCCGGGCCAAAATGAAGTATTCCCCGCACTCCTACAATGGGGCGGGGACACACTGGTCCAGCACCTGGTCAATATCTTTCGGGCCTGTCTAGCATTCAGCTATGTGCCTCACAGCTGGCGAGAGGTAAAAGTCATATTTATACCGAAACCAGGAAAAGCCGACTACACTGACGCGAAGTCCTTCAGACCAATCAGCTTCACATGGTTCTTCTTAAAGACATTAGAAAGGTTATGTAACAGAGAACTGAGGGATGGAGCGCTTAAGCACATACCATTACACGGAAACCAACATGCATACAACCGAGTCAAATCCACTGAATCAGCCCTATATGCCGTTATGGGCAAGAAAGAAGTGGCCCTCAAAGACAAAGTAATCTGCCTAGGTACCTTTATAGATATTGAAGGAGCATTCGATAAAACCAACTTCTCCGGCATATAATCAGCACTGAGAAGACACGAAGAAGATGAAGTGCTAATTAGCTGGATTAGCAACATGCTGAAACAAAGAACAATAAAAACAACAGCACATGAGACCCCATGGGCCATAGTAGCGAAGGGGTACTGTCAAGGAGGGGTACTGTCGCCTCTGATGTGGAACATGGTCGTAAATGACCATATCATTAAACTAAACAAAGAACATTTCTATACAGTAGGATATGCTGATGACATAGCAATACTGGTAACAGGAAATTATGCCAATACACTCTGCGACATTACACAAGCTGCTCTCCGAATTGTGGAAAGATGGTGCAGGGTACGAACTATCGGTAAACCCAACAAAGACGGAACTAGTAATGTTTACAAACAAACAACTACTAGGTAACTACCGACTACCCAAACTCTTCAGTACAGAACTACAGATATCAACCAAAGTCAAGTATTTGGAAGTAATACTGGACAACTAGTTGAACTGGAACAAACATCTGGACAACAAAATTAAAAAAGCTATTATCACCTTCTGGCAGTGCCATAGAATGGTAGGTAAACAATGGGGACTTTCACCCAAGATAACACTATGGCTCTACACAGCGGTGATAAGACCCATGATCAGTTACGGCGCGATAGTATGGTGGCCATGAACCAAAGTGACGACCGCAATCGACAAGCTAGACAAATTCCAAAGAATCGCTTGCATGGCGACAACCGGCTGCATGAGAACAACTCCAACTGCGGCCCTCGAAGCGATGCTGGACCTGCGGCCCCTCCCTCCCATCAGACAGGAAGCGGCGTCAACAGCAGTGCGTCTAAACAGAGCCGGCCTTTGGAAGCACATGAGGACCCCACATACAGAAATCCCTTACAAGACTGTCAATGAGGAACCGCTACTGGAGGCGGTTGTGGATAGGATCCCAAAACAATACATCTTTGACAAAAAATACAAGATACAATAGTTTGAAGATCCCAACGAAGGACTGAACCCCAGAAAGGTCCGAGTCTTCACTGATGGATCTAAAGCAAATTCAGGAACAGGTACTGAGGTATTCTCAGAAGACCTCAATATCAGGATATCAACACCGCTTGGTGACCACAACACAGTATTCCAGGCTGAATACATGGGCATCAAGTTGGCGGCAGAAGCAATCATAACGAGAAGAGTAAAGAATTCTCCATTTGAATACTCTCCGACAGTATGTCAGTACTTCAAGCAGTGAACAGCTATGACATAAACTCAGGGCTCATTTACGAATGCCATCAAGCACTCATGGAGGTATGTATACAAAAACCATGTAACTCTACAGTGAATTAAAGGACACAGCGGCTCACGTGGCAATGACGCAGCAGATGAACTAGCCAGAAAAGGGTCGGAGACGGACACTGTAGGACCAGAACCCATAGTGTCCCTCCCCTATCAATGGTCCAGAACAACTATACACAAAGGTACAAACTTTTCACATAATAATACATGGACCACCCTTATGGTTTGTAGACAGGCGAGGGAAGCACTCCCAATGCTCAATGCCAGTCTATCTCGAAAATTAATTAAACTTAAAAGGCAAGAGCTTTGCACTCTAACTGCCGCCCTAACGGGTAATGGTCCAAACAATAAACACCTTTTCAATTTAGGTATTAATAGTTTTATGCGACTCTTCAGCTACCTACCTACCTTGCCATGTCACTAACTTTTTGTTGATTACATCCTATGAGATATTATTCTAAAATATCTGTTTTTTTCAATCAAACCACCATTTTGGGTTCTTTACAAGTCCCATGGTCATGGTTGATTTGTTTGAAAACACAAGTATATGCGATTTAGATTCATTACATAGTTTCATTTACTATTTGTGACAATTGCGAAATCCTAAGAACTTGATAAAGGAATGATTAATTCTAGAATTGCAGTACTAGAACTAAGTCATTATTTTTGAACAATGAAATCTAAACCATATGCTGTCGTACGCAGGTTTGAACAATGGCGAGGCAGAAATAAAGTTGTTCAAACATAAGTAATAAAACACACATAATGTCAAAACTACAAATAGACTTTAAAAAAAACTTGAAAATTTGAAAGAATACCTGACTCAATAGTTATTTTATTAGTACAATCACTTCTATTGGGGCTATCTTTGTCGAGGTAATTCCAATGCGGATAGAATAAAAATCTTTAAAACTTTCACATAATTTCTTTTTCTTAACATATAAAATCAAGTGACAGCATGAACAAGTTGCGTGTCTGGTGGTAAGCTTTCAATTGCAGAGATCTAAGGGGCACTGCTACTGCACCTGTCACCCTAAGATATAAGATGAGAAGTCCAATGTGCCAGTAATTTCACCAGCACCCTTACTCTTCAACCAGAACACAGTAATGACCACATTACTGCTTAGCGGCAGAAATATGCAAGGTGGCAGTACTTCCCTGGACAAACTCTTTCACAAGGAGCTCTACATGTAATGTATAATGATAGTGGTATAAGACATGCACATAACTGAGAATTACGAAAGCTAATACAGTAAACAGTGCCAATACATTTAAAGATGTCAATTACTTACAATTCTAGAATTCAATACACTGGCTAAATCTGGTGCCTGATACACAATTCCTGCAATAATATAGAAGTCCGCCAGTGGAGTCGCATGGTTCGGTCCGTGGCGGTGCTGTTTCCGGATTACGTAAAGAATCGGATCTTGTACATGAAGAAGTATATATTCCAATCCAGTCATGTTTCTGAAACGGCCAATTACTTGTTTACTCCTTGCAAAAGTATAAAATATTAAATACGAATTAATTACGTACTGCAATTGATCCATACTGAGGCGCTGCATTTTTACTACTTCATTATTACACGTTCGATCGTAAAAAGGATTAGATCTTTCTGAAAAATAATCCATAATGTTTGTGGGATTCAATAACGGTATCCAAGCTGAATCATGCCACGACAGTCCTAAAGGGTTCTCTGATGCAATTGGCAAGTTGCCTATCCTTCCAGGCATCATTTTGGATATATAAATTGATTATGCTCCCTCAAGAAACGTTTAACTTATCATTAACACAACATCATTTACGATTTCGGTCACAGACACAGATTATTCCTAATTTCCCACTTGAAAACACTAAAAATTTTTTTTTTTAATTTTATTAAGGCTTTGACAAAAGCCATCAGCCTAAACATGAAGTTTAAATATGTTTCTGTAAATATGGCCGCCACAAAGAGGATAGGCAATTTGAGGCGGCGTGCTTGGATTGACTCGGGATTCCTTAAAACGGGCCGATACGGGTATTTTAGTTCGAGATTCGTTAATTTCGCGTTTTAATCTTCGATTAAGGCACAATAGCACTATCCTATTCCACTTTAAACTAGATTTCACAAAATAATTGAAAGTCAAAATAAAAACGACACTTTTCCCTCCAAAAGGTCCAGAGCGAATCCACACTAAAAACATTTATTTATTATTTATTTATTTATAAAGCATTGGCTTCAGAGCCATCAGCTTAATGGTAACAAATAATCAAGAAACGCACAACGTATTATACACGAACTAAAAATTAAAACGTATAAAAATGTAACTTTTTTTTTTTCTCTTATATTTTGGCACTATGGCGTCCAGCCTTTGGCCATATGCAATTTCCACTGAGTTGCAAATTTTTGATAATTCTTCCAAATTGATATTTTCTTGCTTCTTGAGATTTCAGCGTGGCAGTTGTTGTTGTGGAACTTTGGTTGGGTTTATGGATATTAATATGAAATTAAAAACGGGGAAAGGAAATCGCGGAATAAAAATAAAAGCAAACGGAATTTTGGAAAGGTGATCAATAGGATAGGATAGGTAGTATATTTATAAGTAAATCTAACCAATGAGGGATGGAAATTATGAAAGGAAATGAGATGATAATAGCTGAAAATAATGATAATTGAATAAATAATAATCTAAATTTTAATATCATTTTTCCTTATAAACTGAGCCAAAACATTGTAAACGGAATAACTATTATACGATAATAACAGAGGAATAGATGTTGGTAAAGGAATTTGTAAAGAAATTATAGATTGAAAAAATGAAGCACGGTCATATCTCGGACAGGAAAAGAAAAGGTGGTTCAGACTGCCAATGTCTTGTTCGCATTCGCATATTGAATCAGATATTATATTAAGTCTAGCAAGATGTTCAGTTGAGCAAGTATGTCCTAATCTCATTCTTGTAATGATTGAAGTAACACGTTTCTCAAAATGTATACGCGAAAACCAAGGTTTGACAGGGATGTCGGACTGTATATCACGAAAATATCTGCCCGTAACTTTACTGCTTGTTTCCCAGACAGTTTGCCACGATTCTTTAAGGTAAATAGCAGGTAGTGTAGCCAAGTCATGAGCAAAGTTTCTATATAAATCTACATCGCCGTTATTTATTGCATCTTTAGCTAAGATATCGGCTCTCTCGTTACCTCTAATATCACTGTGACTTGGTATCCACACAAATAATACAGAAAGACCCTTTGAATGGCACTTGTAAAGAGCTTCACGAATTTGACAAATAATTGGGAAAATGTTACCTGATTTAAAAGGGAATTTACATAATGACTGCAGAGCACTTTTACAATCAGAAAATATTATTGTTTTATGTAATTTTATTAAGAGAATGTATTCAACTGCCTTAAGAAGACCTACGCATTCACCAGTGAAAACGGATGTTTCAGGAGGAAGCTTTGTTTTTTGAATGATATTGTATTGAGAATGAAGAACACCCACTCCTACGGCCGAGTTATCTAGTTTAGAGGCATCAGTGAAAATATGGTTGTAGGAATGCCAATTAATATCTAAGTTAAAGTTAAAGGAAGCGTTAGCAAAACGTCTATTAACTTCACTAAAATCAAAACAGACGTCAGGGGGCAAAATAAGGCATTCATAATTACTACCGTATAATGGGTGAGTGACAAAACTATGAGTTGGAGCTTGTAATGTAAGATACTTTCTAAAACTATTTATAAGGCAAGGAGTACTTTTGTGAGACCAATAACCAGGTGTATTTATTAGATTGTTTAATAGCTCAAGTTATTGCAGCAAAGGGTGACGATTAAATTGGATAATGCGGAAAAAGAATTTATCAGCCAAAAACTGTCGACGAAGGGCAAGCGGAGGTTCAACGCACTCCACTTGCATCGCATTTATCGGACTTGATTTCATAGCACCGGTTATTATTCTGAGGGCCTTCGACTGAATCTTATCTAGCTTTTTAAGATTAGACAAGACACATGGCTCCAGCATAAAAGATCCATAGTCAATTATACTCCTAATCAGAGCATTATATAGCAGTTTTAAAGAGTACGAATGGCTGCCCCACCAGACCCCGCATAAACATCTAAGCATGTTAAGAACTTTTTCACATTTATTAACAACATAATCACAATGAGGAGATCCATTCATTTTACAATCAAAAAGAATACCAAGATATTTAACCTCGCCAACAACAGGGATTGGGTTATTATTAAAAGAAACATTTATTGCAGGATGAACTTTACGCCTTGAGAAAAACACAATGGAGCTTTTGCTAGCAGATAACTCTAGACCATTCGAATCTAACCAGCACTTTAACAATGTCAATTTATTTGATAGTACATTCACGGCTTGGTCACTTAGATTAGATTCAACATATAAAAGAACATCGTCAGCATATTGTAAAATAGAAACTCCATTACCTAAATACCTGTCTAAATCATGAGTGTATATGTTGTACAGTATGGGACTCAAAACAGAACCTTGCGGAAGACCTTTATTTATTGTCCTCTGTAAAGAATATTCATCATTTATAACATTAATAGTTCTATTGTTTAATAAATTTATAATGAAGTTAGATAATAATGGTGGAACCTTTAAACAATCTAATTTTGTTTTTAAAATTGGAAAAAGAACATTAAGTATCATATGCCGAACTGATGTCTAAAAAGTCAGCTAAAATAGAATTACCGATCGAAAAAGCTAATCTTAAATCTGTTGTAAATATAGAGAGACAGTCCATAGTGCTTCTACCTTTTCGAAATCCGTACTGATTATTGGGCAACAAATTGTTATGTTCAACATACCAATCCAACCGGGTTTTCACTAAACTTTCAGCAGTTTTGATTAAGACAGAAGACAAGGCAATGGGACGGTAAGATGAGCTTTCTGTTGGTTTTTTATTTGGTTTCAAAACTGGTAACACTATCTGGCTTTTCCAAGATGGCGAAATTTCACCTGTCAACATGGATGTGTTAATCAACTGTAAATAATAATAAAGGGCAGAATAAATACTGAATAAATTGCAATACTCGAAGCCATTTTATATATTGAGTCCCATAAAATTAATAAATGTTTGGTTTTCTCAGACTCACTAAGTTGCCTCCAAGACATTATTAAGCTACCGTTTCATTCCAAAGACAATTTCTCCATCACCCTCCAAATTAAGGAAGCTCTGTACCGATGTCATTGTGCGGGAATTGAGGTAACTCTGGCCTGGATTCCCGGTCACAGTGGGATTAGTGGCAACGAAGCAGTAGACGCCTTTGCAAAGGATGCGACAAGAATTGGCGTATGCAAATACTGTAAGTGCTTTCCCAGAGATCTACTCGCCATGACCAAACCCCAAATGCTAGCCTCCTGGTCGGTCCTTTGGCAGGAATCACGACAAACTGTTGGTAGACACTATGGTAATCTCCAACCAAATCTACCCACTAAACCCTGGTTTTTTAAACGTCGCGATTTGCCTAAAAACATCACTTCCACTATTATTCGTTTGCGCTTAGGCCATGTTTGCACACCTGTATTTTTGCGTAAAATCAGAGTTCGAGATCACTCTCTGTGCGAGTGCGGCCTAGAAGACGGTACCTTGGAACACATTTTTTTCAATTGTCCTAATATTGCTGTTCCACTTTATAACTTACTTTCTCCAAAATTCCCCCGCCCCATTAACATAAACAACCTCTTAACTTTAGTGTTCTCCCCCCATATTGTTACTCTATGTAAATTTATCCACTTAAATAACATATATTTATAAATATTGTTTTGCTGTTTTGTTTTACATTCTCAACTGAGTACTCCCGTAGTCCAACTTACCAACACCGGTTAATGTCCTATTAGAGCTTAGCGAAAATTTTTTTTTTGTTTCGTTTTTTTTCTTTCAACTGTGACATTGGCAAAATCATCAGTTCTCATATTGATGGAGCCATAAAAATAAAAAGTGAAGTGAAGTGAAAGGGCAGAATCATCCAAATTAGATAAAAGGGAATAAGTAATTCCATCACTACCAGGAGCAGAGTCTACAGTATTAGACAAAACGCCTCTCAATTCTTTCAACGAAAATGGCAAACTTAACCCTGATTCATCATTTGAAACTAAAACTTTACCAAGAACTATTTGTTGTTGGGCTATCGGAGGGGCTAACTTATCAATGAACTGTTCAGCAATATCAAGAGGTAAGTTTCTTAAAGGGGAATCTTTAAAGGCAGATCTAAATCGACGTATCATGTTCCATACAACGGAGAGTTGGTACTGGGACTGATGGAATCACAAAATCTACGCCAGCTTTGAAACTTCTTCTCTTTGAGAGTCTTTTTTGTTTCAGACATAATTAACTTGAGCGACTCAAAGTTCTCGATAGTCATACCATATCGATATCGTTCTTCAGCCTCTTTACGCCTTTTAACAGCTGAGGTACATTCTTCATCCCACCAGACAGGGGAGGGGATATGGTTTGAATAACTGTTTTTAATAGGGAAAATTACATCTGCACACTGAGTAATTAACAAAGCTAAAGCATTTGAATTTTCTATGACATTATTGCAGTTTATATCGGGTAGAGTTGACATCTTTGATTTAATAAGCTTTTTAAATTGATCCCATTTATCATCTTGTAAGTTGTATCTATAGTTAGACTTGTATTTCAAGTTCGTTTTACTCTGAAATGGAAAAGTAATGACTATGGGGAAGTGATCACTACCAAAGGTCGATGTCAAGGTCTGCCATGTTAAGGAAAGTGATAGACTAGGAGAACATATTGAAAGGTCAATAGCACTAACAGAGTTGTTGGGGTCAGTAAGGCGAGTAGGAGTTCCAGTGTTCAATAAGGAAAGATTGTTGGTGTCTAATATGTCAAGTATTTGATCTCCATAGCAATTTGATAAGGAGCTTCCCCATACTTGATGTTGACAATTAAAATCACCCATGACTAAGCATGGTTTGGGAAGAATAGAAAACAGATTATTAATTTGATTTAATATTAAGGTAGTTGGATGAGGTACATAAATAGGAACAAAAGAAATATTATTTACAGAAGCAGCAATGACTGAATAGTCATCACTATGAGAAGGAAGATTAATTAAAGAAAAGGGATAACAATTGCTAATGAGCAAGGCAACACCGCCATGCCCATCAGTTCTGTCTTCGCGAAGACAGGAAAAGCCTGGGATCTTAAACCTGAACTCAGGTCTAAGCCAGGTCTCAGATAAAGAAATAATAAAAGGATTAAATTTATTTACAATATATATTAAGTCAGATTTTTTTATTTACTATGCTTCGGCAATTCCACTGTATTACCGTTGCGTTGGGAGTGAATGTTAAAGTTTTCATTTAAACTTTGAGTTAAGCAAGCAACGTTGGACGGTACAATCATATTAGACTGGGATAATAGATTTATCAAAGATAATATAATATCAGCTATGGAAAGCTGACGGCCATCATTATTAATAAAATTGAACATTGTTCCTCTAGAATTTTCATTGGTCATATTATATTCCTTAGCAAACTCATTATGAGCTTTCTGATCATAGCCTGTTCGTTGCTTTGGTGGGTCTTTAGGTTTTAAAAACACAGTTTTTTTGTAAGATGATGGATTAGTACTATGAGAAGTGGAAGTAAAAGAACTACGTGGAGGAGGTGGAGAAGCCAGAATATCAGCATAAGGCTTTGTCACTGCGGGATGAAGTTTGTAAGCTTCAGAATAAGAAATACTATTTTGAGCCATAGACACTTTTATACGCCTCTGCCTTTCATATTCTGGACATGACTTGCTAGTAGCTAAGTGAGACCCAGAACAGTGACAGCACTGAGCGTCACCTTCATCTACAGAACATGATTCACCTGAGTGATCCTGCCCACACTTAAAACATCGAGGCTTAGAACGACATTGTAATTTTGTATGTCCATACCGACAACAATTATAGCATTGGACAGTTGGAAAGATGTACAATTCTACTTGAAGAGCATTATAAAACATAAATATTCTTTTTGGTAAAACTTGCCCATCAAAGGTAACAACTACAGTTTGGGAGGGTTTCCACGTAGTTTGATTGTCAACAGTCACCTTATAGTTTAAACGTCTTATCTTAACAATATCTCCACAACCAATAGGAACTGACATACTTTCTTTCACTTCTTCGGGGGTTAGGTCTGCAGGAACTCCACGAACTAGGCCCATTCTGGTAATGCTGAAGGTAGGTATAAAAGCTTTGTAATTGCTAGCTACCAAACTAGTGTCATTCAAGAAAAAATTAGCGCTCTGGAAGTCTGAGAAGGATAGGGAAACTCTGTTCCTGCCAATCTTTTTCACACTACCATTAATTATGTTTTTAAAACCATTCTTTTTAAGAAAATTGCCAAAGTGAACTGGGTGTATAGAGGTTCCGTCATTAAAGGAAGTGGTTAATCTTTGTACATGTACTACATACGGAGAGATATCTTGATGCTCAAACAATCGGCAGCCTGGCAAATCCTGTTCTTTCTGGGTAGTGTTAGTATTCGTAGAAGAGGTAGGTATGGGAGCAGCAACAGGCTGAACCGGGGAAGATGATGGGGGCGTTAAGAAAACTTCTGTAGTACTATTAAACTTGCTACCGCAAATGTCGCTATCTGAACAACCACATCCATTGTCCGATTGAGACTTATGCTTACGTTTTTTCTTATTGCAATGTTTGCAAATTTTACGCTGCCGAATACGTTTTCTTCCTTTTAGAGAGTTATCAGTATGGTCCGTGTCCATACTGGAATCATTGGAGGCAATAATCACGTTTCTACCAACTGCGGGGACTGTGCCCCCTGGATCAGGGGGCTCGTCCATTTTAGGCGAAAGGAAAAATGATAAAACTCACCAGATGATGATGACTATTTACACAAAAAACAATATATACAATCAAATAAATAGTATTTACACAAATACTACACTCCTGACCACCTAATTACAATTATTATTAAATATTCAATTTCTAAGCCGAAAAAATTAACCCGCCTAAATCGAGCTTTCCCGCGCTTTTTCAAATGTAACTATTAAAACCCGCCATTTTTTCTCCTACCTATATCAAAGAATACTTACGTAGTTCACTAAGTAGTCTGTGGAATACTTCACAAGAATACTTCCCTATGTAGTTTCTTTTTTTCTTACATTATTGCTGGCCATGGAAACAAAGACCTTCAGCCAAAAACATAAACGTTTAATTATATTTCTGTAGATATGGCCACCACAAAGATTGAGAGAGAAGTGCTTGGATTGACTCGGGATTCCTTAGAACGGGCCGATACGGGTATTTTAGTTCGAGATTCGTATAATTTCGCGTTTTAATCTTCGATTAAAGCACAATAGCACTATCCTATTCCACTTTAAACTAGATTTCACAAAATAATTGAAAATCAAAATAAAAACGACACTTTTCCCTCCAAAAGGCCCAGAGCGAATCCACACAAAAACACTTGAGTACAGTATTGCCAGACTTTTGTGAAATAAATTCGCTAATTTATGGATGTTAGAAGTAGTCGCCCAAGCAATTTTGCTATGAATTCTCTTATTCCTCCAATTCCCCACACGTAGAAATACTCAAACCTCCAAATGAGTTGTTTTGAAACTCCATTCCCCACAAAATCCCCAATCAAGCTTGTAATAAAATTCCCCAGACATTTTATTAAGTAGCATAAAATCGCCTTTTCCTATTTCAAAAATAGCCTAAATAGCGCCTAGTCGCCGATCACTTTTTTAATTGCCACGCTACCACTCGAAGTAGCATAAATGGCGAAAATCGTCTAATCTGGCACCACAGCTGAGTAGCAGCGATGAGTGATACAGCTTGGCAAGAAAGAGTATGACGCGGTGAAAACTGGAACTAAAAAAAGATATTTGTGGCAACACTATTAAAAATGTCAGTGGTGTCAAATAACTGAAATAACCAGTAGCTTTTGTGTGCTTAAATTCTCTTTGGCTTTTGTGTTATTGCTGTATGCGCTGAGTAATTTTATACGAAGTTCTGTAAATTCTCGTACGGTTGTTGCTTGTTTTGCTATTATAAAATGAACAAAACGATTCGTAGTAGTGGTAGAACAGTGATATACCAAGTTCTTTTACGATGTTTGGCTGAATCTCAAGCGGGACAAATTTTGTTTGAAATTAACAATGTTTATCAGAGAACAACCGATATGACAGTATTTATGCAAATTATTCAATTATTATTACGTTGTACATGTCGAATTAGGCACTTTGCACTACTTATAATATACAATTAACGAGTTTTTGTGTTTAGTTGACAACATAGTAACTAAGGTTTTGTTTACGTATCATTTATAAGTTGACTTAATATTTTTGATTCTTTCAAGACTTAAAATTCAAATAAATTGGTGTTTTTGTATATTTGTGTATGTTTGGTATTTATTTTAGGTAAATCCGTCAATACCATAAGAAAAATTGTTGAAGAAGGTGAAAAAAATAATGGCGTGTTTTCTACACCTGGTAAACATAGGAAAGGTCGACCAAAGAAAGATCTTGATGATTTTGACCTCTGCGCAATTAGACAAAAGGTTCATTTCTTCTACACGGTAAAAAACAGGCATATATTATATTTTATATTAATGCCACTTTCTTCAATAAAAAAACAGTATTATGTACTTGGTACTTGGTGTAACGGGCTGGTGTCCGCAACTCGACGACAAGGCGCCTATTTTGCGTGTGGTGGGTGCAGGGTCCTACTCGTGCCACCCAAGCTCCTCCAGGAATCTCAGCAGCCTCCTCGGTTTGCTGAAGACTTCGGGGAGCGACCTTGGCACTCCAAGGTACTTTGCCCTGTAGTTGGCCACGCCGGAGCACTGTAGTAGGATGTGCGCAGCCGTTTCCTCCCCCTCTATGCACGCTCTGCATAGAGGGCTGTCTGTGATACCTAAATTGAAAAGGTGTTTATTGTATGGACCATGACCTGTTAGGGCGGCAGTTAGAGTGGGAAGCTCTTGCCTGTTGAGTTTAATTAATATTCGTAATAGACTGGCATTGAGCGTTGGGAGTGCTTCCCTCGCCTGTCTACAAACCGTAAGGGTGGTCCATGTATTATTATGTGACAATTTTGTACCTTTGTGTATAGTTGTTCTGGACCATTGGTAGGGGAGGGACACTATGGGTTCTGGTCCTACTGCGTCCGTCTCCGACCCTTTTCTGGCTAGTTCATCTGCGGCGTCATTGCCCCGTGAGCCGCTGTGTCCTTTAATCCACTGTAGAGTTAAGTGGTTTTGTATACATACCTCCATGAGTGCTTGATGGCATTCATAAATGAGCCCTGAGTTTATGTCATAGCTGTTCAGTGCTTGAAGTACTGATACTGTCAGAGAGTATTCGAATGGAGTGGTTCTTTACTCTTCTCGCTATGATTGCTTCTACCGCCAACTTGATGCCCATGCATTCAGCCTGGAATACTGTGTTGTGGTCACCAAGCGGTGTTGATATCCTGATATTGAGGTCTTCTGAGAATACCCCAGTACCTGTTCCTAAATTTGTTTTAGATCCATCGGTGAAGACGCGGACCTCTCTGGGGTTCAGTCCTTCATTTGGATCGTCAAACAATTGTATCTTGTATTTTTTGTCGAAGATGTATTGTTTTTGGATCCTATCCACAGCCGCCTCCAGTAGCGGTTCCTCATTGACTGTCTTATAAAGGATTTCTGTATGTGGGGTCCTCATGTGCTTCCAAAGGCCGGCTCTGTTTAGACGCACTGAACTAAACCTGAATTGTTAATGCTTGTAAAACGCCGCAAACCAGAGGCCCTTTATGAAATTGACCAAATATTTGGGGGATCATGGTCACAATGTGGTACGGCTGCCTCCATATCATTGTGACCTCAATCCTATTGAATTGATATGGGGAATTGCAAAACATAAAATTGCCTCTGTCAATGTAGGGTCCATTGACATAAAGGTAGGGATCTAGTTCATAATTCGTTTTTCTTAATATTCTTAAGTTGAACTCATAATCAATAATATTTTTATTCCGACAGATGGCAGCTGAACAAGCATTCCAAGCGATTACTGCCGAAGATTGGAAAAATTCATGCCAACATGTTATTAAAATTGAAAAAGTGTATTATGAAAGGGGTATGACTATGTATGACGACATTGAAAAATTGGTTATTAACGTCAGAGATGAGAGCAGTAGCGAGACCACTTCAGATTCATGTGATTCAGATGAGTTTGTTGTTGCTGGAACGTCTAGCCAAGATATAATAGAGT